CACATCGTCTGCGACGGATTTGATCCGCACCGCGTATGCGGGTGATGGTATGTGTGTAGAGCTGCTACGGGCTCTCGGGAGTATAGAGATTGGAAACTCGGACAGGAAATTGTCATCAAGATTGCGTGCACGATTGCACCCATACTCTTTGAATAACGGCTTGCTATATTATAGCACCGATTCAACGGATACACCACGAATTGTGGTTCCTCACGATGAGAATTTGAAATATCGCATCCTCTATGAGGCTCACTATACGCCACTCAGTGGTCACCTCGGTTGTGAGAAAATGTAGAACTCTGCGGGTCACCACTATTGGTGGCCCAAGCTGTACAAATGGACGAGCACGTACGAGACGTGTCAACTGGTGAAACCCTCTCCAAATGCGGCTGCGCCGCTGACCAGCTTATGGGAAGGTGCTGGCAGTCCATGAGTTTGGACTTTGTGTTTGGCCTACGAATGATTCGGCGGGCAACACGGGTGCCGTGGTATTCGTCGACCGGCTGAGCAAGATGGCTAATTTGGCGGCGGTGCCAGACACCATAGACGGGGTCGGTACAGCAACGCTGTTCGTGGATCGTGTTTTTCGACAACACGGACTCCCAGAGTCGATTGGGTTTGATAGAGACCCCCGTTTCACGGGAAAATTTTGGTCGACTATCTTTAAGGTGCTAGGCACCAAGTTGGATATGTCGACAGCGAATCATCCGCAGACCGATGGCCAAACCGAAAGGGTGGATCGCGTCATCGAAGACATTCTTCCCAGCGTCTGCGCTGAGCAATGCAGTGCATTTGTCTACCCGGCAACACGCCGATCTACGTGAACGAGCTGCTTCACCCTCACGTCCCACTGACGCCACCGTCCCATGGCTCAGGGCTTGGTGGGGGAGAAATAGCCAAACGGCTAGCTGATGTCAGCCCCCTCACCATCCGGAAAGAAGTCGATGACTTCTTGTCGACCAGACTGAGTGTCGTACGACACGTTCGCGATGCGATGGCTGAAAGCCAAGACCTGCAGAAAGAAAATGCAGATGAATAAGGAAGAGGCAAAGTAGAAAGCTTCAAGGTCGGGGACCTGGTTTTATTAAATTCTAAATACCTGCCTACACATGCAGCCTCGGCTATCTTCAGGACGAAGCTTCGTCCACGGATTATTGGACCGTTTAAGGTTGTGGCCAAGCGGGGCCTACTGTATACGCTGAACCTTCCAAAACGGATGCGCACCCACCCGGTGTTTTACGTGGGCTTG